GTTTTTTCTCTTTTTTTAAAGATTTTTCCTATAGGGCATGTGTGCTCACCAGAGAGACAGAGAGGACAGAGAGACAGAAAGTGAGAAATTGCCCCCCTGGGGGTGGGGTGGCCACACTGCAATTTCTTCTGCTCAGTTCTCCTCTTAAGCTTTTGGGCACAAATGTACATATGCCTGGTGTGAGTTTTAAGCTGCCAGGTCTGGGACTTGAACTGTGGTCAACTACGTGGGAGTCTAGCAATATAACCATTATGCCACCTGCTGGTCCCTTCCATATTTTGTTTTGTTTTGTTTTGTTTTTACAGATTTTTGCTATATGTCCCATGTACTCACCAGAGAGACAGAAAGTGAGAAACCACCCCCCACACCATAATCCCTTCTCCTCCATTCTCCTGTCCGGCTATACAATAATCCAGTGACAACCATTTTACCAACTGCTGGTCCCAGAACTCACTTTATTTTTAACAATTATTTTATTTTATTTATTTTAATTTTATTTATTTTATTTATTTATTTGACCAGAGAGGTACAGAATGAGAGAGAGTGAGAGAGATGGAAAGTGAGAAAGCAAGCCATCAGTTCCAGGATTTGAACTGTGGTCAGCCATGTGGAAGTCCAGCGCCCTTAGCCATCACACCACCTGCAAGCGCCTAAATTCACTTTTTAAAAACGTAATTCTTGGGACCAGCAGTTGGTGTAATGGCTATGTCGCTCGACTCCCATGTAGTTAACTGCAGTTCGAGTCCCAGACCCGGTGATTTAAACTCACGCCGGGCGCGTGTGCATGTGTGCCCAAGATCCCGAGAGCAGAATGGAGGAGAAGGGATTGCGGTGTGGCCTTCTCCCTTGGGGGGTGATTTTTCATTTTCTGTCTCTCTGTCTCTCTCTGTCTTTCTGGCGAGCGCATGCACCCTATAGTGAAAAACCTCTCAAAAAAAAAAAGTAATTTTTTTTTATGATAGAGCACAGGAGAGAGAGAAAGACAGAGAAGGAGAGAGAGAGAGAGAGAAAGGGGAGTGGTTTGGTCTGCAATCTCTGCTCCAGAACTCCAGAACTCTAGCCCATAGGGCACTCACGTGCATACCTGGCATATTTTATGTATATGGGCTGGGGATTCAAACTGCTTCTCCTAAGCTGTGCATTACCACTACACCACGGAGCTGGCCTGGAATCACTTTAGTTCTAATCCTCATTACCACTGCTATAGGCCAGAGCTTCTTAAATACTAATGTGCATATGGATCAGCTGGGAGAACTTATCAAAATTCAGGTTCCAATTCAGGGTGGAGCCCAGGATTCTACATTTTTAATAAGCACCCAGGAAATGCCTATGCTGGCAAACAGATCTCACTCTGAGTGGCAAGGTTCTGACCATTTAGCATCCATATCTGGATTAACAGCAATACTTTCCTAAATGTTCTTGCTATCCTCTCAGTGGTTAGGAGGATATGCAAACAATTTTTATTTGTTCATTTTTTTTGATGTTCTCAGTTGTTATCAGTGCTCTACCCATGCCTACACTGTACATCGTCCAATCCTCCATTCTTCCTGGAGCTAGGGCAGCTTAGTATTCCAAAAAGGACAGAATGTTTTTAGACTAACTTAGGATATTTTAGGGATCACCAAGCATACCTAGTATAATAGGAGAATCAGGCTATGTCCTAACTTAGGACTGACCAGGAAAGGGAACCTTTCACTAGGGGTTATAAGCATCGGTATGATGGTGCCCTTTCCAGTCTCCTCTCATTTCTGTGCCCTCCCATCATCTCAACCAGTTCATCTGGTCCATGGATTTTGATTTACTCCATGATTTTCATCACTAACTAGTCTTCACTAGGTACCTACATTTTTCAGTGTAGCTGAATCTCTGTATATGTAAGGGAAAAAAATAGGAAATAACCTAATATCCTAAAGAAGAAACAAAAAGAAAGTGGCTGCATTATGTTCGGAAATTCATAGTTATTCCATGGTAACTTTTTAAAAACTAAATGTATTTATTTTATTCAGAGAATGTGTGCATGAATATGGGGTGGGGACATCCTCTACAGGGATCTGTCATGCTGCACATGTCTGAAGTGTGTTTTTAGGCCGACAGGGCTAGGGACTCCAACCACAGTTGGTACGTGGTTTCTAGCTCTGTAGTCCAGCACACTGCTGACCGTGTCACAAAGGCTGTGCCTTATGGTAACTATTATTAGAGCTCTAAGAGAGAATGAATGAGAGGCAGATTCAAAATTTGTATGCTTTTTTTTTTTTTTTTTTTTTTGATTTGCAATTGAACTGCCTCATGATTATTAGTGAAGGTGCTGTTCCTCACTGAGCCAAATTACCTCCAAGATTAGGGTGTACATATTCTGGCTTCTAGTGTTGGAGCACCTAATAGGCAGACTGAACACATTTAATTATTTACTCATTCAGGACCAGCAGTTAGTGTAATGGCTATGTCGCTGGATTCCCACGTAGTCGACCGCAGTTCGCATCCCAAACCCGGTGGCTTAAAACTCATGCCGGGCACATGTGCGTGCGTGCCCAAGATCCTGAGAGCAGAACGGAGGAGAAGGGATTGCGGCATGGCCATCCCCGTTGGGGGGGTGATTTCTCGCTTTCTGTCTCTCTGTCTTTCTCTGTCCATCTGGCGAGCGCATGCGCCCTATAGCAAAAACCTCTCAAAAAATTATTTACTCATTCAACACATATTTTTTGAGGCTATAATATGTAATATGAACTATTCTGAGTGATGGGAAAATAGCAGTTAATTATACTAACTTCCTGCTCTTATGGAACGTATACTATACTAGAGCAAGCAGGTAATTAAAAAAAAATGAATATATAGAATAACGTGATAGAGGGGTAGAGAGTAAACGTGTGTGCCGCATGATGGGTATGGCTTCTCTAAAGAATGGACATTTGAGCAAAGACCTGCATGAAGTGAGGGGGTAAGCCATACGAATATATAAGGAAGGGGAACTCCATATAGTGAGAAGTTTGAGTGCAAAGGCCTTACAGAAGAGCTCATTTGGCTTTTTTGAAGAAGAACAGATAAGCACTTAGAGTAAATGAGGGGAAGAAAGGTAGAACATTAGGTCAGAGTAGAGGTCAGAGTTCAGACAATATACATCTCTAAATATCATAATAAGAACTTTGGATCTTACTTTGAGTTATGAAGCCACTGGAACATTATGAGCACATAGAGGATATGATTTGACTTTCATTTTTTTAAGTTAGAAATATCATTTTTAAAAAGGATTATTTAACTTTATTTACTTATTTCAATTTGACCAGAGAGGTCAAATTGAGCGAAAGAGAACAAGAGCAAGAGAGAGAAAGAGAAAGTGAGAAAGCAAGCCACCAGGTCTGGGACTTGAACCATGGTTGGTCATGTGGGAGTACAGTGCCCATAACCACCACACCACCTACTAGCTCCTTGACTTACATTTTAAAAGGATCCTTGGGGCTATTGCATAGAGGAATTAATGAGACTAGGGGTGGTGGCTGATGTGCTCACTGGAGACAATTAAAGTAGTCCAGGAAAAAGATGATGGTGAATTGTATCAGGACATTAATAGCAGAGGTAGAGAGAGGGAACAGTCAGATTGAGAACGGATTTTCAGCATGGTGCCAACAGGATTTGCTAATGAATAGGATGAAGAGTATGAGATAAAGAGGACAAAGAGGATGACTTCAAACATTGGGGACTGAGCAATTGGTGTGATCAACTGGAATGGTGATCACTAGGAAAGAGCAGATTTGGAGAGAAAATTTAAGAATTTTGTTTGGCTAGATTATAAGTGAGGTATCTCTTATGCATCTGAGATAAATTAAAAATGGCCATGGATTCTTTGCTGCCTTTCCCTTTGAGAGGTGAGACTACTTCTCCTCATGAATATGAATTGTTTGAAAGACCTGTTTAACCATTAAACAATGGTGAATGTGGCATTTTAGACAGTTAGGATTAGGCCATGAGAAGCCTTGCAGTTTCTACCTAAGCCTCCTTTTTTTTTATTTAAGAATTATTTTATTTAACTTTATTTATTTATTCATTTATTTTAATAGAGATAGAGCAAAAGAGAGAGAGAGAAAGCAAACCACGGGATATGAGACTTGAACCACAGTCAGCCATGTGAGAGTCTAGGACTCTTAACTACCATCCCACCTGCTGGCCCCATTACCCAAGCCTCTTAAAACATGCATTCTGGTTGCCCTGAGCCACCATGTAAGAATCTAGCCACTCTGAGACCACCATGCTGAAGAGGTCATAGTAGGTATTTCAGCCAGTGATCCCAAATAAGCTTAGCTTTCCAGCCATCACCGCCAGGGCGCCAGATGTGCAAATGAAGTTGTCTTAGACAGACCAGGCTATTTGCCAATTGAATGCCCGTGAGCGACTTCTGTCAACATCATATTCTTTACCTACAAAATGCTGAGCTATAATAAAACAATTGTCCTATGCAACTATCGTTTTAAACGAAGGTTTTTGTCGTAGGGAGCACGCACTCACCAGAGAGAGATGAAAAGAGGGAAAGTAAGAACCCTTCCACCCCAGGGGATGGCTGTACCACAATCCCCTCTCCTCCGTTCTCCTCATGGGAGTCCAGTGACATAGCCATTACGCTAACTGCTGGTCCCGAGATTCCTAAAGACTTTCATTAGAAAATATTTTTAGATGGGCCCAGCAGGTGGCATGGTGGTTAAAGGCGCTGGACTCTCATACATTTAACTGTGAGTACATATGTTGTATAGCAAAAACCTAAAAAAAATTTTTTTAGATGCACAATATAAAATATATAGAATTAAGAAGAAAGTCAACCATATTGAAATATAATTATATTTACAGTCCCAAAAAATAAAAAAACCATCAGAACTGATAAAGTAGTAATAAAAAACAGATAAAAGCCATGAGTGTTGATAGAGAAGTTTGAGGACTAAACTCTGAGACACTTAGACTAGATGTTTAGAAACTAGCAAAATTAATTAAGCCAACATAGAAAATTGAGACAGGAGATACTTACCTGGCAGGGGAGATACCATGATCACGAAGATGGTCTTCCCAGGGCGAGGGGGACTTATTTAGTTCTTCCACCCGGCTGGACAGGTCTATGTTCATTAGGCTATATAATTCCTGATATTAAAATGGCATGGGGAAATGCCTCCTTGCCAATTCCCCTCAGAACAAATGATAGACTATCCAAAAGAACAGGACCCCTAATTCCCTTGAGCATCGCTTTTAGTGCTCTTATTGGTATAGGGGATATGGCTACTGGCAGTAGCTCTCTCGGATTGCAACAGCGGTTGTCTGCTGAAACAGCTGAAGCTTTCAGAGTTACAGCAGAAAGCCTAACAAGGAAACAGGAACAATTAGATTCCTTGGCAGGTGTTCTACAAAACCGCAGAGCCCTAGATCGTCTCACTGCAGAAGGGGGAACTTGTATATACTTACAAGAAGAATGTTGTTTTTACGTTAATCAATCTGGCTTAGTTCAACAAGATATTAAAAATCTTCTTGAAAAAGCCCCAAAAATCGAAAAATTAGGATTTTCCTCATGGAACAATACAAACTGGCTTTTAAGTCTCTTGTTGTCACTAGTAGGGCCGGTTGTAATGATCATCTTAATCATAAGCTTTGGCCCTCCATTGTTGCAAGCCCTTACTAAACTTGTTGCCAATCGAATACAATCTATTTTTATGTTACACCAATATCAACTAATACCTAATAATGTTAACCTCTCCCCACTAGATGCAGTCGCTATAACCTTCCGCGATTCCTATGAAGACATCTCTAAAGTCTCCATCCAATCTTGGGGCTAGCCTGACAGAGAGCAAGGACTGAGGCTCTGACTCCCCTCTCTTCAGCGATAAAAAAAAAAAAAAAAAAGAAATGTGAAAAGGACACAGAATCAAAGAAGATTTTGTTTTCTTTTACGAAATGAGATAGTAAGCATGTTTTTTGACTTATGCAAATGATCCAGTAAAGAGGAGTGAATAATTCTAGAAGGCAAATACAGCACTGGGACTGGACAGTAGTGCACCAGTAAAAATGTGACCCTGTGAAGCTGACCTACATGGGAAAGTTCCAGATTCATGTTCAGAGATCTCCTCTGAGTATACTTGGCACACACGTGCCCATGATCCAGGGTAGGCTGAGGCTAGGGGTGGGACACAGGACAATGGTGGGGGTGCTGTCTCTGTCTCTTTGTCTCTCTTTCTCTCTGCCTCTCTCATTCATTGAAGAAACAAACAAACATAAAAGTACAGTACTAAAAGAGGCACAAATGGATGGGAGTCAGCTAACGAAATGCAGGACTGACCCAAATCAATGCTTCAGGCCCTAGCAACTTGTAGTCACCAGAAAATAAGAAAGATAACTTCACTGACTTAAAGATCATGTATTCCGTGGAGGACCACAGGATGTAACTTTGTCTCTACATCAAAAGTACTCCACCCCACTCCCACAAATGATCTCTCTTTGGATGAGGATATATTATACTTTTTGTTAATCTAGTCAATGTCTAAACAGTCTACCCTCTATCTCCCTTTGAACATTTTTAAAAAACCAACTAGCATAAGGGCAAATCTAGGGGACGAAGCATGGACATCACCAGAGTTTACAATGTGTGATCTGTGTCTCTCTTCCCTTTTCAGAGGAGCACATTCTCTTAACTTTAGAATGTCTCTTTCATTTGCCCTCTCTAGAGCACACACACACACACACACATCCTGCAGGGGGAATAGCCATGCTGCAATCCCTCTTCCAATCTCCTCCTGGGATTTTGGGCACACATGTACATCCAGTGTGATTTTCAAGTTGGCAGGTCTGGGTCTCGAACCACTCCAGCACCTTAACCGCCACACTACGTGGTAGTCCTAGATTCTTACTTCTTACTCTAATTCTACTTTCCATATTTCCTCCATTTCCCTTATCTCATTTTAGGTCAGATACAGTAATACTGCCAAGATTAGTAACATTTCATGCTCTTCATTTTTTGTAAACAATACTGCCATGCTCTGTGACAGAATGATAGACAATGGTTATGTAAGTTAGTGCTTAAGTGATTTTTAGTCTAAATTTTAATATACATCTGAGTGCTCTAGTCAATGTTGTGAGATGCAAAATGGAAATAAGTATAACTCTGGAGAAAAATTAGAGAAATTTATAATTATTTGTTTAAAATAAATATTAGGGTGCAAATGATATTCTTTCTCCTTTTAATTGTCAGAGGATGCATGCTCTTGCCAGAGAGACAGAGAGGGAGAAAGCACCCTCCAGTGGAGCTTGGTCACCTCACAGTCCCTTCTCCATATCTATCCTCTTGGGATTTGAGACACGTACACACACACACACACACACACACACACGAACCTGGAATGTTTTTCAAGTCACCGGGGCCAGGATTCAAGCTGCAGTGAGCCAAGTGGGAGCTGGCTTCCTCAACCACTAATGTTATGGGCTATCTGCAAATTATATTTTTACTAATTTACTCATATTTATTTTGTACAAATCCTCTAACCTTGTTTATTTTTGTCTGTTGTAGAATGAGTGTGTGAGATTTTGTAAATTTCATATGTTGAAATCCTAATCCTCAGTGCAATGGTGTTAGGAAGTACAAACTTTGGTAGGTGATTAGGTTCTGTCCTCATGAGTGGTAATAATGCCCTTATAAAAGAGACTCCTGGGGCCAGTAGGTGGCATGTTGGCTAAGGCACTGAACTCCCACATGGCATGGCCATTGCAATTTGAGTTCCAGATCTGGTGGTTTGCTTTATTCTCTCTCTCTCTCTCTCTGTTTTTCTCTGGTGAGTGTGTGTGCACTATAGTAAAATTTAAAAAGTGTGTGTGTATATATATATATATATACCCCGGTGGCTTAAAACTCACGCCGGGCGTGCGTGCGTGCCCAAGATCCCGAGAGGAGAATGGAGGAGAAGGGATTGTGGCGTGACCATCCCCCTTGGGGGGTGATTTCTCGCTTTCTGTCTCTATGTCTCTCTCTGTCTGCCTGGCGAGCGCACGCACCCCGTAGCGAAAACCTCTAAAAAAAAAAAAAAAAGACTCCTGAGAGCATCCTCATGCATTTTGTCACATGAGGACACAGTGAGAAGATGGCTATCTATGAGTTAGTAAGTGGCTTTCGCCAGGCACTGAACCTCCAAATGTCTTGTTCTTGGACTTCTCAGCCTCCAGAACTGTAAGAAATAAATTTCTGTTGTTTATAAACTACTCAGTCTATGGTATTCTATTACACTGGCACAAATGTACTAAGATACTGTAAGATACTGTTCACGTAATGTTACCAACTGATAATACTGAATTGAAATTCCTTTTATACTTCTTCTCTGATTTCATTTAATTTTGTATTTCTAATAGTTTTTATTATTTATATATTTTGTACAGTTACACGTGGCATGTAGTTCTAATGTTTCAGTTGAATACAAAAATAACATGTGCCTTGCTTTTATTATGTATCTTATATCAATGTATCTTAGAGGTATTTCCATGTCATCTACTTCAATTTTTTTTTAATCAGTTACATAGTACTCTCATGTATTAGTGACCTGTACTTTTTTTTAACCAGTCATCCACCATCAAGGGCATATATTAGATCTTTTACTTTTTAGAGCCTGTACCATTTTATTTAATGAAGACTAATAGTGGGGTAGGGTTGAGGGAAAGAACACAGCAGGGAATTCTTCATTTCCCATAGAGACAAACTTTTTTTTCCTTTAATAACCTGAGAATTATAGGCTTAAGAATACTTATGAAATACTACAGTATATATTATATTACATCTTTGCACTTGTTCTCTTTGCCTAAATGCTCTTTCCTCGGATATCCATATGGCAGAATCACTTCCTTCAGGTTTCTGACCAAATGGCATTTTATTAGTGATACATTTCCTGATGCTGCTATAGTTTGAATACGTCCTTCAAATTTCACATGCTGAACTTAATTCCCAATTGGGTTCAGTCCAGTTTCCTCTCTCTGTCTCATGTGCTCGCTTCTACTTTCCAATCTTCCTCCATGGGATGATCCTCATCCAGATGATAGAGCCATGCTCTTGAGCCTCCCAGCCTCCAGAACTGTCAGAAACACACCTCTCTTCTTCATAAATTACCCAGTCCATAGTATTCTGTTATAGCAACACAAAATGGACTACGACAGATAGTGTGCCTGTCCCCACTAGTGTGGACAAACACACACGCGCACCTCTTTATTTCTTTTCTCATACATACAAACATATATATACACAGAATGGAAACCTTTTTATCCACTGAGTTTGAGACTATCAGTTGATGATTTTGTCAAAATTAGCTACAACACAATGAAACAAAACAAGAACAGTAGGTCTAGATGCTGTGTTGCAGTGGTAACATGGTGCCCTGCAAGACTGGAGGCCACGTTGGCCAACTGTGGGTTTGGGTCCCTTGGTCAGCCTGAAAGCTCATTGGGCATGTACGCAGGCACTCAAGATCCTGAGGATCTGGAGGACTTGGGAAGGAAACTGCAACATAATACCCTGTCAAGGATTCACACGCTCTCTTTCTAATCTACATGTTTGCTATCACAAAAAAAAAAAAAAGAAAAAAAAATAATAAAAAGTTACATATTTTAAAACGTATTTTTATTATTTAATTTTAACTTGAAACTTTTTTTTGGCTATAGTTTATTAGTTAATGTCATGTTCTCTGTCTTACGTAAACTACACATATAACACATTGTCTATACTTTCCATTTAAAGACAGACTCTAATCTTACAAAACTATTCATAATTTTCTGAGAAAAATGCAAAGTTAAACAACTTTAATGCAATTTCAACCTAAACTGCTTCTTGATTTTTCAGTTTTCCCCAATATTTTTTTAGTTGTTTTCCCACAGCTAATTTGGTAGATTTTTAAAAGAAACTCACCTTTATCAAGTCTTTCCAAAGCAGTTCATATAAATGGTGGCTTCTTTTGTACTCATTTTCATCAGTCTATGTAACGTTTAATTAAATTTCTTAAACATAATAATAAGCACAGTTGGCATAAACAGGCTGAGAATAAACACAACTGACTTTTGGTAAGCATGAGATTCACCTGGTAGAAGCAGACATGGGGATGCCACAGGTAATCATGGTGTGTTTGCAGAGAAAATGAAGAGTGTTGGTTAATCTTATGAGTCAG